TGAGGCGACTAATGTCGTTCGTGGTCATTGCAGTGTCACTTTCCATGTCTGTGGTACGCTCGTCGTAGCCTCCGAGCTAGCGTGTTTCGATTGGGTCTTTGTGTTAAAAGACGTGATGCTCTGGAACCATTGCATTTAAGATAATAAAACACTAGAGTGTACAAAAGACACTAATACACCGTAAAAACGTGTTTAAAAGGCTTTAAAAGGCTTAAAAAGGGTAAACAGAGCAGAGACGTCAAAACGCGTGCTCACTCCTTGTCTATAGCTTGTCCAATCTATATTCTGCTCTGATTGGATGAGACAGACAGATATTCATGAAATTATAAAAACAAAGTCGGTTTTAATAAAAAATACTACATTTTCATGTCATTTTTGCTCTGTTTGAGTCCGTGTGAACCAGAAAACGATTAATCGATTACTAAAATAGTTGTCGACTATTTCAATAATCGATTAGTCGTCGATTAATCGATTAGTTGTTTCAGCCCTAGTCCAGAGCCCCTCTGGCAGAAAGTTGTCTACTCATTGTGTTCAGAGTAAAATGAGAGCAGTGTGTGTGTGTTTGTGAGGTGGGTGTGTGTGTGTGTGTGTGTGTTTGTGAGGTGGGTGTGTGTGTGTGTGTGTGGTGGGGGTGTGTGTTTGTGAGGTGGGTGTTTGTGTGTGTGGGGTGTGTGTGTGTGTGTGTGTGTGTGGTGGGGGTGTGTGTTTGTGAGGTGGGTGTTTGTGTGTGTGTTTGTGAGGTGGGTGTGTGTGTGTGTGGTGGGGGTGTGTGTTTGTGGGGACTGTCTGGATAAATATAATCTGATTACACATTCATTTCCTGAGGTGGCACTTTTGACCGGAACACTACAGATGTAGTTCAAGTGCACCGGGGGGAAGGATATCATAAAGTCTTGGAGCAATGAGATGTAATAATATAAGTGTTTAAATGAACACGACTCAAAGGTTAAAAACACATAATACAGTACAACATATTTACTGTAGACTATTAGAGTCCTGCATTGTGAAGCTTGGTTTCTTTTGAGCCATTGTTTAACTTTAACTCAGTCAGGTCTGTTAGAGATTTCAGTTCAGCAGATAAAATGTTCCAGAGCTGTGGCCCTTTGACTGCAAACAAAGTCTGACCAGATGATGTTTTACATCTTGCTGGTCTGCAGTGTGTGTGGATCAGGAACTGGTGCCCATCTCAGAGGACCATGAAGATAACCTGCACCATCAGAACTATTCAGGGGTCTGTGCAATGTGTGTAGGGATGATAGTCATCCTAAACTAGCAAACACAGCACAGGTTAAAACAGCTTAGCCCCAATTTTATGTTCATTTTAATAAGAGGACATGAAACCAAATGAAACTTACTACTGTCAGGAATGAAGCAGACAGAGACGGATCGTGGTGCACCAAACTCTGCAAGTTTATTTAGGTTTCTCTCAAGTTCTAGTGGTTTCCATTGTTTCTTTCTCTCAGACAAAATGGAGTCAGTACACAGTTTATATAGTCATTGTCACGTCACACATGGAAAGACGTGTCGCACAGAGACAGTCACATCATAGACACAACATGGAGTCATCATCAGAGTCCTTGTAGAGTCCTACAGTTCTCCTCCGTAGGTCATATTGCTATCAAATCCTAACACTCTCCCCTTTGATCACATAATCACATATAAGTGTTTAATTCAATTTGATCAATCAATAAAGTGAAAAAAAAAATTACACTGTAAAAAAATTATTACAAAAACAAAGAAAATGTATGCATTAAACTTGTAATTATCAAAATCAATATCAGTGGATTTTATCCTCTATTCTGGGGAAAAAGAACTCAGCAGCATCAGTCAAAATACAGACAAAAATGAGCTGAGTCTCAATTTAGAAGCTTATTTCACTTTTATCTTTTATTCTAATGCTGATTGTTTTCACTACAGTATATATTACAGTATATATATATTTTAAAAATGTTCCTTGTTACCATGGCGGCGCATGAACATACTGCGGCTTCTCTCTCTCTTGACAAGGTGACGTTTCTACCTTTTTCTACCCTTTTCTGCAAACTGCATTTGCAGTTTTTGTGATCCGCATTGTTTTGCAAGATGTTGTTTTACATCTTTGCCATGTTTTTGTGGAGTTCAGCGGATTTTTTACTGCCAAAGCTCACACAGTTAGCATCTGAGCTAAAGGCTTTTTGAGCAGTATTTAAGACCTACAAATCCAGAGATATCATCTTCTGAAGCGCTGACAGGTCACCGAGGGCCCCACCGAGGGCCCCACCGAGGGCCCCACGCATCTGCAGCACAGTGGAGGCATCACAAGAGGCGCTACAGGAGTCCCGGCCTCCGTTGTGTGCAACTTCTACAGAGGGACTGTAGAGAGCATCCTGACCAGCTCCATCACTGGGTGGCACGGCACCAGCACTGCCTCCTGCCGAAGGAGCCTCCAGCGCATCGTGAGAGCAGCAGAGAAGATCTGTGGAGCCCCTCTCCCCACCATTAAGGACATGTACTCCACCCGTCTCACCCGCAAAGCCGTCAGAATCACCATCACACAGGCTCTTCAGGGTAATGCCTTCAGGGAGGACTCTGCAGAATTTACGGAACAGTTCCAGTCGACTTAAAAACAGTTTCATTCATAAGGCCATCAGGAAGCTGAACTCCCTGCCCTCCCTCCCACCCCTCTTTGTGAACATGTTTTGAAGGAAATGCTCCTTTTACCGTTTGATATTAGCACTGGCTAAAAATATTCTCCATTTTATGGTTGATGCTTTTATCTATTTTCACAGATTTGTTTCAAAACTTAATGTACACATATTTGATAATAGGGTTTATGGACTGACAGACTGATTGCTAGCTAGCATAGACTCATTAGGTCAAACCGCTGTAATTATGCAAATAAAAAGCAAACAAAAAACTCAGAAGCATTCAGTGTGAACAACCTACAGCAGCGAGGGAGGTCCTGGGAATGTAGCTGGCTAGCTCTGCGGCAACACAGGCTAATGGCATTATTAGGAGAGCACAATAAACATTTCCGAACTTAACACATCCTGGTGTTATTCTACAGGGTGTTAAACGTTAAAGACTACAACAGCCAGCCCAGTTGACAAAATGAGATTAATCATACGCTGCCTCTGGTCTCTCTCTGGTCTCTCTCTCTGGTCTCCCTCTGGTCTCTCTCTGGTCTCCCTCTGGTCTCCCTCTGGTCTCCCTCTGGTCTCTCTCTGGTCTCTCTCTGGTCTCTCTCTCTGGTCTCCCTCTGGTCTCTCTCTGGTCTCTCTCTCTGGTCTCCCTCTGGTCTCTCTCTGGTCTCTCTCTCTGGTCTCCCTCTGGTCTCGCTCTCTGGTCTCTCTCTGGTCTCTCTCTCTGGTCTCTCTCTGGTCTCCCTCTGGTCTCTCTCTGGTTCCAACATGTCGTCTTGATCAGTGTCGTTCAGAGCTGACAGCATGTTTCCAGACGCTGTGAAGGTTGATCTCTGGTCTCTCTCTGGTCTCTCTCTGGTCTCTCTCTCTGGTCTCTCTCTGGTCTCTCTCTCTGGTCTCTCTCTCTGGTCTCTCTCTGGTCTCTCTCTGGTCTCTCTCTCTGGTCTCTCTCTGGTCTCTCTCTGGTCTCTCTCTGGTCTCTCTCTCTGGTCTCTCTCTGGTCTCTCTCTCTGGTCTCTCTCCCTCTGGTCTCTCTCTGGTCTCTCCCTCTGGTCTCTCTCTCTGGTCTCCCTCTGGTCTCGCTCTCTGGTCTCTCTCTGGTCTCTCTCTCTGGTCTCTCTCTGGTCTCCCTCTGGTCTCTCTCTGGTTCCAACATGTCGTCTTGATCAGTGTCGTTCAGAGCTGACAGCATGTTTCCAGACGCTGTGAAGGTTGATCTCTGGTCTCTCTCCGGTCTCTCTCTGGTCTCTCTCTCTGGTCTCTCTCTGGTCTCTCTCTCTGGTCTCTCTCTCTGGTCTCTCTCTGGTCTCTCTCTGGTCTCTCTCTCTGGTCTCTCTCTGGTCTCTCTCTGGTCTCTCTCTGGTCTCTCTCTCTGGTCTCTCTCTCTGGTCTCTCTCTGGTCTCTCTCTCTGGTCTCTCTCCCTCTGGTCTCTCTCTGGTCTCTCCCTCTGGTCTCTCTCTGGTCTCTCTCTGGTCTCTCTCTCTGGTCTCTCTCTCTGGTCTCCCCCTGGTCTCTCTCTGGTCTCTCTCTCTGGTCTCTCTCTCTGGTCTCTCTCTGGTCTCTCTCTCTGGTCTCTCTCTGGTCTCCCTCTGGTCTCTCTCTGGTCTCTCTCTGGTTCCAACATGTCGTCTTGATCAGTGTCGTTCAGAGCTGACAGTATGTTTCCAGACGCTGTGAAGGATGATCTCTGGGCTCTCTCTGGTCTCTCTCTGGTCTCTCTCTGGTCTCTCTCTGATCTCTCTCTGGTCTCTCTCTGGTCTCTCTCTGGTCTCTCTCTCTGGTCTCTCTCTCTGGTCTCTCTCTGGTCTCTCTCTGGTCTCTCTCTCTCTGGTCTCCCTCTGGTCTCTCTCTCTGGTCTCTCTCTGGTCTCTCTCTCTCTGGTCTCCCTCTGGTCTCTCTCTGGTCTCCCTCTGGTCTCTCTCTGGTTCCAACATGTCGTCTTGATCAGTGTCGTTCACAGCTGACAGCATGTTTCCAGACGCTGTGAAGGTTGATCTCTGGGCTCTCTCTGGTCTCTCTCTGGTCTCTCTCTGGTCTCTCTCTGATCTCTCTCTGGTCTCTCTCTGGTCTCTCTCTGGTCTCTCTCTCTGGTCTCTCTCTCTGGTCTCTCTCTGGTCTCTCTCTGGTCTCTCTCTCTCTGTCTCTCTCTCTGGTCTCTCTCTGGTCTCTCTCTGGTCTCTCTCTCTCTGGTCTCTCTCTGGTCTCCCTCTGGTCTCTCTCTGGTCTCTCTCTGGTTCCAACATGTCGTCTTGATCAGTGTCGTTCACAGCTGACAGCATGTTTCCAGACGCTGTGAAGGTTGATCTCTGGCGGAGCAGCTGTGATGAGGGATTGTCATGTAAATCCAGGAGCGGTGGGTTTGAAGTGTCCCATGATGGATGAGCAGGACGGGGGGGGGTCAGGGAGAGAGGGGGGGGGGGGGGGGGGGGGGGGGGGGGTCTGTCCTGGGACCAGCACGCTCCACAAACCAATGCACATGGTAATTATTATGATGAAGAGGAGCAGCTCTAATATCCACGTCGACATATTTGATGAAAGGAGACGAATCGTGACGTGTTGATCTACAGCAGCTTCAGTGACGTGGAACTGGTCTCTCTCTGGTCTCTCTCTGGTCTCTCTGGTCTCTCTCTGGTCTCTCTGGTCTCTCTCTGGTCTCTCTGGTCTCTCTCTGGTCTCTCTGGTCTCTCTCTGGTCTCTCTCTGGTCTCTCTCTGGTCTCTCTGGTCTCTCTCTGGTCTCTCTGGTCTCTCTCTGGTCTCTCTGGTCTCTCTCTGGTCTCTCTCTGGTCTCTCTGGTCTCTCTCTGGTCTCTCTCTGGTCTCTCTCTGGTCCTCTCTGTGGTCTCTCTGGTCTCTCTCTGGTCTCTCTGGTCTCTCTCTGGTCTCTCTCTGGCTCTATCTTTCTCTGTCTCTGGTCTCTCTGGCCTCTCTCTGGTCTCTCTCTGGTCTCTCTGTGTCCTGTCTCTGGTTTCTCTCTGGTCTTTCTCTCTGCTCTCTCTCTCTGCTCTCTCTCTGGTCTCTCTCTCTGCTCTCTCTTTGGTCTCTCTCTCTGGTCTCTCTCTCTGCTCTCTCTCTGGTCTCTCTCTCTGGTCTCTCTCTCTGCTCTCTCTTTGGTCTCTCTCTCTGCTCTCTCTCTGGTCTCTCTCTCTGGTCTCTCTCTCTGGTCTCTCTCTCTGCTCTCTCTTTGGTCTCTCTCTCTGGTCTCTCTCTCTGGTCTCTCTCTCTGCTCTCTCTCTCTGCTCTCTCTTTGGTCTCTCTCTCTGGTCTCTCTCTCTGCTCTCTCTCTGTTCTCTCTGGTCTCCCTCTGGTCTCTCTCTGTTCTCTCTGGTCTCTCTCTGGTCTCTCTCTCTGTTCTCTCTGGTCTCCCTCTGGTCTCCCTCTGGTCTCCCTCTGCTCTCTCTCTGCTCTCTCTCTGGTCTCTCTTTGGTCCTCGGGCTGAAATGCAGTTTATGTCCCAACCATATTAAAATACTAATCCGATACAAAATCATGATATAAAAACACACTAAAAGTACATTATGCATTTGTCACGGAAACAAATGCATAAACAGTGGCTCCTCGTTTAACCGGGGTTTGGGGGTTACGTTCCAAAAATAACCCACAATAATAAAAATCTAGTTATACTGGGCTCAATAAAGTGTCTATCTCTCTATGTGAGGCTGTGAAACCATAACACACTTTATAGACACTTTTCTAACCACCTGAACTCCCGACTGCTGAAGTGCGATCGCTGAGATATCAAACCTGTTGGTTATAGGTCTGAGCGCTGCTGCAGCTGTCAAAAGCCGTGCACACTCTGTAAAATATACAGCTGCAGAGGACACTGAGGGGCAGGACGGAGGGGTACAGGAAGACCAGAGAGAGACCAGAGAACACAGAGACCAGAGAAAGATCAGGGAGAAAGACCAGAGAGAGACCAGAGAGAGACCAGAGAACACAGAGAGAGAGACCAGAGAGAGACCAGAGAACACAGAGAGAGAGACCAGAGAGAGACCAGAGAGAGACCAGAGAACACAGAGAGAGAGACCAGAGAAAGATCAGGGAGAAAGACCAGAGAGAGACCAGAGAACACAGATAAAGACCAGAGAGAGACCAGAGAACACAGAGAGAGAGACCAGAGAGAGACCAGAGAGAAAGACCAGAGAGAGGACACAGAGAGACTGCAGTAGTCCTCTGAACTTAACACATGTGCACATAATCCACAATAGTTTTCTTCTGGTGGTTTTCTGGCAGTTACATGATGTTGTTGGAACATACATGAGAAGCACACATTTCCATCTGTGTATAAACAGTGTTCCAGACCCTCTGTCGTCTCTGTGATGTCACCGCTGATGTAAGTCTGCAGCGCTTTGATGTCTTGTTTTAAAACGTCTGGAATTTTATGGTTAATACTTTTGTGTCATAATATTTTTTAGCCAGAGGGGGGCGCTGTGTGCTCACTGTTTTGTGATCACTGCTGCTAGTTCTGCTTGATTAGGACATTTCAAAGTCTTTATGAACAATGAGGATGTGCTGCCTTTACTGTCGAGCTCCTTAAGGTGGACCATCAGTTTAGGTCCACCTTAAGGAGCTTGTAATAAGGACAAAGACGGAGCTATTTTTTATCTATTTGGAATGGAGGCCCTGGCACTCTCTGTGTTTGGGATGAGTTTGCTCAGGGCTGAGAGAGAGACCAGATAGAAGGACCAGAGAGAAGGACCAGAGAGAGACCGGAGATGGAGACCAGAGAGAGAGAGAGAGAGACCAGAGGGACAGAGACGGGACCAGCTGGGGTAACGAGAAGGAAGGAATAGAGAGACACCAGAGAAAGATCATAGAGGGAGACCAGAGAGAGAGAGATACCAGAGAGAGACTAGAGAGAGACCAGAGAGACCAGACAGGGGGACCACCGAGAGACCAGAGAGTGACCAGAGAGAAGGACCAGAGAAGGAGACCAGAGAGAGAGAGACCAGAGAGAGAGAGACCAGAGAAAGACGATATAGGGAGACCAGAGACAGACCAGAGCGAGACCAGAGGGAGGGACCAGAGAGAAGGACCAGAGAGAGACCGGAGATGGACACCAGAGAGAGACCGGAGATGGAGACCAGAGAGAGAGAGAGAGAGACCAGAGGGACAGAGACGGGACCAGCTAGGGTAACGAGAGGGAAGGAATAGAGAGACACCAGAGAAAGATCATAGAGGGAGACCAGAGAGAGAGAGATACCAGAGAGAGACTAGAGAGAGACCAGAGAGACCAGACAGGGGGACCACCGAGAGACCAGAGAGTGACCAGAGAGAAGGACCAGAGAGGGAGACCAGAGAGAGAGAGACCAGAGAGAGAGAGACCAGAGAAAGACGATATAGGGAGACCAGAGACAGACCAGAGCAAGACCAGAGGGAGGGACCAGAGCGAGACCAGAGAGGTAGAGATTAAAGGACTTGGATCCTCACCCATCACCCACACAGAAAACATACAAAGAGAAACATGTGTAAATTGTTCCATAGTGTCTCAAAGTTGAACCCAAATCCATCCAATCCCACGTCCAAACTTTGTGAATGACAGCCCCATCTTGCCTCGCTGTTCGGACACATGTGACACCTGCCTCCCCTCATCACCCTCTCGTCCTGGGGCCCCGCCGGTGCAGGAGTGGGGGCCCCCGGGAGACCACAGCTCCGGAGCGGACCTGTCACAGCCGCCGTGACGAGGGGAGGCGAGGGAGGGGGGCGTACGGGACAAGTGTCAGAAAAATCCTCCAGGGGAAAAGCAGAGCCAAAGAACAGCTCACCTACACTGACAATAGGATCTGACCCCCCCCCCCCCCCACCCCCCCACGGGACAGGACGGAGCCAGGGAGCGCAATTACCGGCTGTGCATGGACCCGAGCGGGGAATCAATTTGAGGGGTGGCTTACACGCAGAGGAGGGAGTGGGGAGATAAGGGGGTCACGGGCGCATGTTTAAACTGCATAAAAGATGGGCTCAAATTTACATTCAAATGTGTAAAATCTGTGTCGTGTAATGGAGACACTTTGGAGGCAGAGGATTGTGAAAGGACACATTCATGAGGTTTGGGTTTAAAGGAGACGTATGACGAAGGATGTTGCTCTGATGAGTCGTCGAAAGCACACCTGGATTAACAACGGTATCATAGACTTGTGGTACCAGATAAAGTAGATATGTATTTGTATCTGCATCTGTACCACACAGAACCTGTCACTGTCACTTCAGCCCAGACCTTTCTGCTGCTGATGGACAGATGTAAATGTACAACTCTTTTTTGTATACATTTACCCACTGTGGGACCAATAATGGGTTGGGTTGGTAGTTGCACACACAAACAAGAGGGACAGAAGCAAATACAGTAAAGAAGCTCCAGACCCTCTGCACTGGGAGCAGAGGTCTGCTTTAGGGGTCTGGCTCCTGGACCTGGTGGGGGTCCGGGGCCTCCTCTCTCCTCTGGGTCCTATGTCGCCCCTGTGTCTCTAATATGTGGTTTTGCTGTGGGTCTGTGAAGCATGTTGTGTTGCATTTTCCATTTGAAAAGCCTTTTATAAAGAACATTTATATTACATTAATAGAAATATCAGTGACTTTAACACTTTAGCAGTTCTGAAACGCTCAGGTTTTGGACGAGGATCAGAGCAACATGAGATAAAAACAAAGGAAAGTAGTGTCCACAATGTACTTTTGGGCACAACATTTAAACAACATTTATAAATTCCTCCAGAGGACGCTTCATTTGCATCATGTATTAAACTAAACTAAGTCGTTTTGCAGAGTGTGAAGAGTGTTTTAAGGAACAGTGTAAGAATCATTAAAGCCATTTGCTTCAACACAAACAGTCAGATGTTTTTATTCTTTATGAACAAGTTTCTACAGAAACAAAAGGTCCAGAACAATCTTTTTATATAATGAAAAAATATTCCAAAGCTGGTGAAAGTCCACAGCGGTGTCTGTCATCTCAGACACGAGCCTGTGATTTCCTGAGCTCCACATTACATTTGTAGAAATATCTGGGGAATAGTTTCTTCGTGTCTTGGAAACGCTGCTGCTGCCCCTTTGATAATTGGAGCCAACGACGCTGAAATCACTAATGAACTGTCTGCGCTTCAGTCGAGTTAATTAGGAGCTGCCGTCCAACCTTCTACAGTCAGTGACAATGGAAAGATGAGATCCTGCGACGCCCGCTGAGTTAGAAATACAGCATTTCTAAAAACTCTTTTCTCTGAGTCTGTTGTGATCCAGAAATCTCCTTTGAACTGGTTCTTGTTCAAACTGTCAACAACAGAGAGTGACCTCTGCTCCGTGACGTGGGGTGAACGTCAGAAAAGCAGAGCATGACCCCAATTCAGCCCCATAATGATCTGAGTCTGTGTTCTTGTCATGGTGTGGATTTTATTTTGGACTTTAGCTTTATTTTGATATCTGTTCTCTGTGCTTTGGTTTTAGTTTGACTTTGACGTCCTGTTTCCCCTGTCTTGATTGTCTGCCCCGCCCTAATGTGTTTCACGTGTGTCTGTCTATAATTACCCTGTGCTCCTCTCCTTGCTGCTGGTCCATTGTATTGTCAACTTCTGTTCTGTCCTGTTCCTGGTTTAGTATTTTGTATTTTGAGTTTTGTTTGCACCTGGACATTTATTTTATTAGATCATTATTTTTTGCATTCCTGAATTTTGCATTTTGAGTCCTCCTCCTTCCCACCCCGTGACAGTTCTGTTTTAATAGTTCAGTTTTAGATTTGTTAAAGTCACCTCAGGGTCAGTGTTTACTGCTGCAGACTCAGGACAGTCTTATAAAAGTTACAAAGTGATTTACCAAAATGACTCTGAGGTCCAACCCACATTAATGCAAGGCAGGTTTATTTGTATAGCACAGTTCATACACAAGGAATAAATAATCACAGTTGTTGCATCAAAACAGAACAGTTTTTAATTTGGATTTAAGCACTGTCAGAGAAGAAGCCTGTCTCACATTTTCAGAAATATTCTTCCAGATTTTACCAGCATGAATCTGAAATGCTGCCTCCCCATGTTTAGTTCTGATTCTGGAACCAGCAGGAGGCCAGTCCCTGTGCTCCTCAGAGTCCCAGCAGGAGGCCAGTCCCTGTGCTCCTCAGAGTCCCAGCAGGAGGCCAGTCCCTGTGCTCCTCAGAGTTAACCTCTATCTGTCCAACAGACTCCTCCATCAGAGGAAAAACTCTAAAACCCAGTGGGAGAAAAGTGAGAAACCTCAGATTCACAGAGAGAGGGATCCACTCCACACAGACAGGACGGGCTTTAGACCCAGGACTCAGACTGTAGAACGAGGACTGAGGCTGTAGATCCAGGACTCAGACTGTAGAACGAGGACTGAGGCTGTAGATCCAGGACTCAGACTGTAGAACGAGGACTGAGGCTGTAGACCCAGGACTCAGACTGTAGAACGAGGACTCAGGCTGTAGACCCAGGACTCAGACTGTAGAACGAGGACTCAGGCTGTAGACCCAGGACTCAGACTGTAGAACGAGGACTGAGGCTGTAGATCCAGGACTCAGACTGTAGAACGAGGACCGAGGCTGTAGACCCAGGACTCAAACTGTAGAACGAGGACTCAGGCTGTAGACCCAGGACTCAGACTGTAGAACGAGGACCAAGGCTGTAGATCCAGGACTTAGACTGTAGAACGAGGACTGAGGCTGTAGACCCAGGACTCAGACTGTAGAACGAGGACCAAGGCTGTAGACCCAGGACTCAGACTGTAGAACGAGGACTCAGGCTGTAGACCCAGGACTGAGGCTGTCGATCCAGGACTCAGACTGTAGAACGAGGACTGAGGCTGTAGATCCAGGACTCAGACTGTAGAACGAGGACTGAGGCTGTAGATCCAGGACTCAGACTGTAGAACGAGGACTGAGGCTGTAGACCCAGGACTCAGACTGTAGAACGAGGACCAAGGCTGTAGACCCAGGACTCAGACTGTAGAACAAGGACTCAGGCTGTAGACCCAGGACTCAGACTGTAGAACGAGGACTCAGGCTGTAGACCCAGGACTCAGACTGTAGAACGAGGACTCAGGCTGTAGACCCAGGACTCAGACTGTAGAACGAGGACTCAGGCTGTAGACCCAGGACTGAGGCTGTAGATCCAGGAGTCAGGCTGTGTTACCCCAAGATTTCGGACTTGGTTTAATTCACTTCGTAGTCCCATAACGATGCCTCGGCTCTGTACAGTACATTCCGTTGTATTATCTGGAAACAGTCGCTCCAGAGCAGAGAGTCCCCACCAACATCAGCAGCGGCTCCTCCACCTGTGACACAAAGTGATGTCGCACTTTATTACTACTGTTATTATTGCTGGTAACTTTTAGCATAATGTAGTTACGTGTTTGTTTGGACGGATGTGTTTCTCCTACAGGGATCAATAAACCATCTCTCTATCTTTGACTCAGCTTTTTCAGGCAGAAACATGAAAAAAAGAGACCCACCGTCACTCAGCCAATCAGCTCTGAGTATGGACCAAACAACAAGTGTAATTTATGAGCAAAAACATCTGTCTTTTGCCTCCTCTGTGAGAACGATTGTTTTGTTGATACATACTGTAAAACCACACTTTTGCCGCGTTCAAACCCACACACACCAATTTGTTTACGTTGTCATCGTACAACACTGCAGTACAACACCCCCCTTCCCCGGTGTACCCGCACACCTGTACCTGTCTCGGCGGAGTACTCTCGGAGGCTGCAGTCCCAGACACCGCCCGCCTCCGTGTAGCCGTTGTCAGCTGTCACCGGGAAACACTCGGGCTCGCTGTGGTCCGCCGCCTCGCTGATCTGACGCCTCGCTGATCTGACGCCTGTTGCTTCCCGAGCTGTTGGCTGCGAAGAGGATAAAGAGGCCGAGATAAATATATATATATATGAGAAAGTAATGAAAAGGACAGTGTGTCAGGAGGAGGTGAAGAAGATGTTCCAACACTCGCTCAGAGACAGAGACGATAGAAAAACACAGACTTTGGTTTTCAGGATTACATTTCTCCAGATTACATGAAGAGAAGGGTATTTGTGGCCAGATCCTGTCAGACCTCTGAAGCTAAGCAGGGCAGGGCCTGGTTCGTATCATGATGGATGACCTTTGAGAACAGCAGGTGCCACAGTGGAGCGGTTGCGACTGTATAAAGTGCCAAACTGTGGTTGTGTCCCGAGGCAAGACACTTCCCCCACATTAGAATGAGTCTGGTAGTTTTCATATCATTCTAATAATAACTACATGTTTTAATGATGTTGTACTCTGTGTTGTGTCTCTGTGTCCCATAGGCCTCCCCAACATAAGTAACCCTAACCCTTATTGTTTTTTACCCACTAAAGACATACAACCTGATCCCCACTTGGACAAACTTGGATGCTCATTGAGGCTCATTGAGGCTCATTGAGGCCCTGACAGGCTTAAAAACAACAATGAACCGGGCGTGGAACAGAGACGGACGGTCCAAAAACAGGTTCATTGTATTCAAATGAACCTGAGTGTATTTACCTCCATGATTAACACACAGGTGGGTCAGTGAGGTGGAGGTGGGACAGGTGTGGGTCAGTGAGGTGGAGGTGGGAGAGGTGTGGTTCAGTGAGGTGGGAGAGGTGTGGGTCAGTGAGGTGGAGGTGGGACAGGTGTGGGTCAGTGAGGTGGAGGTGGGACAGGTGTGGGTCAGTGAGGTGGAGGTGGGACAGGTGTGGGTCAGTGAGGTGGAGGTGGGAGAGGTGCGGGTCAGTGAGGTGGAGGTGGGAGAGGTGTGGGTCAGTGAGGTGGAGGTGGGAGAGGTGTGGGTCAGTGAGGTGGAGGTGGGAGAGGTGCGGGTCAGTGAGGTGGAGGTGGGAGAGGTGTGGGTCAGTGAGGTGGAGGTGGGACAGGTGTGGGTCAGTGAGGTGGAGGTGGGACAGGTGTGGGTCAGTGAGGTGGAGGTGAGACAGGTGTGGGTCAGTGAGGTGGAGGTGGGACAGGTGTGGGTCAGTGAGGTGGAGGTGGGACAGGTTTGGGTCAGTGAGGTGGGAGAGGTGTGGATCAGTGAGGTGGAGGTGCTGTCAGTGAAATGGAGGTGGGTCAGTGAGGTGGAGGTGGAGAGGTGTGGTCAGTGAGGTGGAGGTGGGAGAGTGTGGACAGGTGTGGGTCAGTGAGGTGGAGGTGTGGACAGGTGTGGGTCAGTGAGGTGGAGGTGGGAGAGGTGTGGGTCAGTGAGGTGGAGGTGGGACAGGTGTGGGTCAGTGAGGTGGAGGTGGGACAGGTGTGGGTCAGTGAGGTGGAGGTGGGACAGGTGTGGGTCAGTGAGGTGGAGGTGGGAGAGGTGCGGTCAGTGAGGTGGAGGTGGGAGAGGTGTGGGTCAGTGAGGTGGAGGTGGGAGAGGTGTGGGTCAGTGAGGTGGAGGTGGGAGAGGTGCGGGTCAGTGAGGTGGAGGTGGGAGAGGTGTGGGTCAGTGAGGTGGAGGTGGGACAGGTGTGGGTCAGTGAGGTGGAGGTGGGACAGGTGTGGGTCAGTGAGGTGGAGGTGAGACAGGTGTGGGTCAGTGAGGTGGAGGTGGGACAGGTGTGGGTCAGTGAGGTGGAGGTGGGACAGGTTTGGGTCAGTGAGGTGGGAGAGGTGTGGATCAGTGAGGTGGAGGTGCTGTCAGTGAAATGGAGGTGGGTCAGTGAGGTGGAGGTGGGAGAGGTGTGGGTCAGTGAGGTGGAGGTGGGAGAGGTGTGGACAGGTGTGGGTCAGTGAGGTGGAGGTGTGGACAGGTGTGGGTCAGTGAGGTGGAGGTGGGAGAGGTGTGGGTCAGATAGGTGGAGGTGGGAGAGGTGTGGGTCAATGAGGTGGAGGTGGGAGAGGTGTGGGTCAGTGAGGTGGAGGTGGGACATGTGTGGGTCAGTGAGGTGGAGGTGGGAGAGGTGTGGGTCAGTGAGGTGGAGGTGGGACAGGTGTGGGTCAGTGAGGTGGAGGTGGGACAGGTGTGGGTCAGTGAGGTGGAGGTGGGACAGGTGTGGGTCAGTGAGGTGAAGGTGGGACAGGTGTGGGTCAGTGAGGTGTAGGTGGGACAGGTGTGGGTCAGTGAGGTGAAGGTGGGACAGGTGTGGGTCAGTGAGGTGGGAGAGGTGTAGATCAGTGAGGTGGGAGAGGTGTGGGTCAGTGAGGTGGAGGTGGGAGAGGTGTGGGTCAGTGAGGTGGGAGAGGTGTAGATCAGTGAGGTGGGAGAGGTGTGGGTCAGTGAGGTGGAGGTGGGAGAGGGGTGGATCAGTGAGGTGGGAGAGGTGTAGATCAGTGAGGTGGAGGTGCTGTCAGTGAGGTGGAGGTGGGACAGGTGTGGGTCAGTGAGGTGGGAGAGGTGTGGATCAGTGAGGTGGGAGAGGTGTGGATCAGTGAGGTGGAGGTGGGACAGGTGTGGGTCAGTGAGGTGGAGGTGCTGTCAGTGAGGTGGAGGTGGGAGAGGTGTGGATCAGTGAGGTGGAGGTGGGAGAGGTGTGGGTCAGTGAGGTGGAGGTGGGAGAGGTGTGGGTCAGTGAGGTGGAGGTGGGAGAGGTGTGGGTCAGTGAGGTGGAGGTGGGAGAGGTGTGGACAGGTGTGGGTCAGTGAGGTGGAGGTGTGGACAGGTGTGGGTCAGTGAGGTGGAGGTGGGAGAGGTGTGGGTCAGTGAGGTGGAGGTGGGAGAGGTGTGGGTCAATGAGGTGGAGGTGGGAGAGGTGTGGGTCAGTGAGGTGGGACAGGTGTGGGTCAGTGAGGTGGAGGTGGGACAGGTGTGGGTCAGTGAGGTGGAGGTAGGACAGGTGTGGGTCAGTGAGGTGGAAGAGGTGTGGATCAGTGAGGTGGGAGAGGTGTGGGTCAGTGAGGTGGAGGTGGGAGAGGTGTGGGTCAGTGAGGTGGGAGAGGTGTAGATCAGTGAGGTGGGAGAGGTGTGGGTCAGTGAGGTGGAGGTGGGAGAGGTGTGGATCAGTGAGGTGGGAGAGGTGTAGATCAGTGAGGTGGAGATGCTGTCAGTGAGGTGGGAGAGGTGTGGATCAGTGAGGTGGAGGTGGGTCAGTGAGGTGGAGGTGGGAGAGGTGTGGATCAGTGAGGTGGAGGTGGGAGAGGTGTGGGTCAGTGAGGTGGAGGTGGGACAGGTGTGGGTCAGTGAGGTGGAGGTGGGAGAGGTGTGGGTCAGTGAGGTGGAGGTGGGACAGGTGTGGGTCAGTGAGGTGGAGGTGGGAGAGGTGTGGGTCAGTGAGGTGGAGGTGGGACAGGTGTGGGTCAGTGAGGTGGGACAGGTGTGGGTCAGTGAGGTGGAGGTGGGACAGGTGTGGGTCATTGAGGTGTAGGTGGGAGAGGTGTGGGTCAGTGAGGTGGAGGTGGGAGAGGTGTGGGTCAGTGAGGTGGAGGTGGGAGAGGTGTGGTTCAGTGAGGTGGAGGTGGGAGAGGTGTGGGTCAGTGAGGTGGAGGTGGACAGGTGTGGGTCAGTGAGGTGGAGGTGGGACAGGTGTGGGTCAGTGAGGTGGAGGTGGGACAGGTGTGGGTCAGTGAGGTGGAGGTGGGACAGGTGTGGGTCAGTAAAGTGGAGGTGCTGTCAGTGAGGTGGAGGTGGGAGAGGTGTGGGTCAGTGAGGTGGAGGTGGGAGAGGTGTGGGTCAGTGAGGTGGAGGTGAGACAGGTGTGGGTCAGTGAGGTGCAGGTGGGAGAGGTGTGGTTCAGTGAGGTGGAGGTGGGAGAGGTGTGGGTCAGTGAGGTGGAGGTGGGAGAGGTGTGGGTCAGTGAGGTCAGTGAGGTGGGACAGGTGTGGGTCAGTGAGGTGGAGGTGGGACAGGTGTGGGTCAGTGAGGTGGAGGTGGGACAGGTGTGGGTCAGTAAAGTGGAGGTGCTGTCAGTGAGGTGGAGGTGGGAGAGGTGTGGGTCAGTGAGGTGGAGGTGGGAGAGGTGTGGGTCAGTGAGGTGGAGGTGAGACAGGTGTGGGTCAGTGAGGTGCAGGTGGGAGAGGTGTGGTTCAGTGAGGTGGAGGTGGGAGAGGTGTGGGTCAGTGAGGTGGAGGTGGGAGAGGTGTGGGTCAGTGAGGTGGAGGTGAGACAGATGTGGGTCAGTGAGGTGGAGGTGGGACAGGTGTGGGTCATTGAGGTGTAGGTGGGAGAGGTGTGGGTCAGTGAGGTGGAGGTGAGACAGGTGTGGGTCAGTGAGGTGGAGGTGGGAGAGGTGTGGGTCAGTGAGGTGGAGGTGGGAGAGGTGTGGTTCAGTGAGGTGGAGGTGTGGGTCAGTGAGGTGGAGGTGGGAGAGGTGTGGGTCAGTGAGGTGGAGGTGGGAGAGGTGTGGGTCAGTGAGGTGGGACAGGTGTGGGTCAGTGAGGTGGAGGTGGGACAGGTGTGGGTCAGTGAGGTGGAGGTGGGACAGGTGTGGGTCAGTGAAGTGGAGATGGGGGCGGGGCTTCCTGTACTGGCCCCTCCCATCTCTGTGTGGAGTCAGAGACAACAATCGTAAAAGGCGCTATATAAATAAACATGACTTTTAACTAATACTTTGAACAAAGAAAAACCTCTTCACCTTCAGCCCCACGTGGAATTATTGATGAAATATGTGATATGTTTGCAGGTCGGAAATACACACACACACACACACAAAGACAAACGCACACACACACACAGACACACACAAAGACAAACGCACACACACACACAGACACACACAAAGACAAACGCACACACACACACAGACACACACAAAGACAAACGCACACACACACACAGACAGTGTTAGCTCATTCTCCTGGTATTTTAACGTTCATGTTGTGGTTCAGCCTAAAACGTGTGTAGTCGTCTGTTGAAGTCCAGATGTGTTGTCCCAAATAATGGCCTCACACACACACACACACACACACACACACACACATACACATACACCCACACATACAAACACACATACACCCACACACACATACATACACCCACACACACACACACATACAAACACCCACACACACATACATACACACACACACACACACATACATACACACACATACAAACACACACGCACACATACACCCGCACACACATACATACACACACATACAAACACAAACACACACGCACACATACACCCACACACACATACATACACACACACACACACACACACACACACACACATACATATAAATACACACACACACACACACACACACACCTGTGAAGGACATCAGCCGTCAGCCTCACCTCGGGGGTCGTGGGGTCAGAGCAGTACTTCCTGTTTCTGGCTCTCACACGTTGCCATCTGTCACCATGGAAACCAGCGCTAATGAACAGCTGCATCGGGCAGTGACACGGTCAGAGAGGTGTGTGTGTGTCTGTGCATGTGTCTGTCTATGTGTGTGTGTGTGCGTGTATGTGTGTGTGTGTGTGTGTGTCTGTGTGTGTGTGTGTCTATGTGTGTGTGTGTGCGTGTATGTGTGTGTGTGTCTGTGCGTGTGTGTGTGTGTCTGTGCATGTGTGTGTGTGTGTGTGTGCGTGTATGTGTGTGTCTGTGCATGTGTGTGTGTGTGTCTGTGCGTGTGTGTGTGTGTCTGTGCATGTGTGTGTGTGTGCGTGTATGTGTGTGTCTGTGCATGTGTCTGTGCGTGTGTGTGTCTATGTGTGTGTGTGTGCATGTATGTGTGTGTGTGTGTCTGTACATGTGTGCGGTGGTGATTCAGACCAATCTCTTTATGTCGTGAAGGAGCAGGGGCTGACTTCAGAGCACTGGACTACTCAAAGTTCTCTGGCCAGAAATGCACCGAAAATAAGTTTTTGGGTGAGGAGTGTGTGTGTGGACCAGGACAGGACCAGGACAGGACCAGGACAGGATCAGGACAGGACCAGGATCAGGACAGGACCAGGACAGGACCATTACAGGACCAGGATCAGGACCAGGGCAGGACCAGGACAGGATCAGGACAGGACCAGGATCAGGACAGGACCAGGACAGGATCAGGACAGGACCAGGATCAGGACAGGACCAGGACAGGACCATTACAGGACCAGGATCAGGACCAGGACAGGACCAGGACAGGATCAGGACAGGACCAGAACAGGACCAGGACCAGGACCAGGACAGGACAAGGACAGGACCAGGACAGGATCAGGACAGGACCAGGACCAGGACAGGACCAGGACAGGATCAGGACAGGACCAGGACAGGACCAGGACAGGACCAGGACAGGATCAGGACAGGAGCAGGACAGGACCAAGACAGGACCAGAGCAGGACCAGGACAGGACCTGGACAGGACCAGGACAGGATCAGGACCAGGACAGGACCAGGACAGGACCAGAACAGGACCAGGACAGGACCAGGACAGGACCAGGATCAGGACCAGGACAGGATCAGAACAGGACCAGGATCAGGACCAGGACAGGACCAGGATCAGGACCAGGACAGGACCAGGACAGGACCAAGACAGGACCAGAGCAGGACCAGGACAGGACCTGGACAGGACCAGGACAGGACCAGGACAGGACCAGGACAGCAGTGAAGAGGTGACAAAGGACAGACGGACCAGAGAAGAACAGGACTGAAGGAGATGGTCCGGATTCTGGCTCAAAAAGACCCTAGAGCAGACATGGACAAACTTTTCCTCCTGAGGGCCACATTGGAAATTAGGTCCGGATCCCGACAGCCGTCTGATATTCCAAGGTTTTTCTCCGGCTTCATTTTAAAACATAAATGTATTGTTTATATTAAAAAAACATCTCTGCACACGGCACAGAAGGGGATTGTATGGTGTTTAAACTGAAATGACCCCACTCTGGGATGAATAAATATTCTTAATCCTAATCTCTCTTGATCTGAAGCTTAATCTACATAAATTGAGGACGGCTCAGGGGCCTGATAGAAGCATCCAAAGGGCCGCATCTGGCCCACAGGCCGGGGTTTGCCCACCACTGCCCTAGAGACTGGAAATAAATCCAACAAATACAAAAACAAACATCAAAGTCACTGAGTAATAATTGCTGTGTTGGTGATGGTCCGGGATCATGTGACCTCAAAATTACATACAGCCCCTTTAAAGATTCATTCATTCATTCATTCATTCATTCATTCATTCATTCACCTTCTCTTTCCGAACACAAAAGTATTACACAACAAACTGTCTGGATTCAGGAAACACGTTTTTGCTGCGGAATTCAAGCTGGATTTTAACTTTCAGCTCATGGGAGAGGGCTGTACCGGGAGAGGCCAGGAGAGGGCGCCACTGTCTGCTGCTGATGTGAGACAAAAGGTCTGCAAGTCCTGGATCAGTCTGAACCTGGACTGAGTCTGAACCTGGACTCAGTCTGAACCTGGACTCAGCCTGAACCTGGACTCAGTCTGAACCTGGACTCAGCCTGAACCTGGACTCAGCCTGAACCTGGACTCAGCCTGAACCTGGACTCAGCCTGAACCTGGACTCAGCCTGAACCTGGACTCAGCCTGAACCTGGACTCAGCCTGAACCTGGACTCAGCCTGAACCTGGACTCAGCCTGAACCTGGACTCAGTCTGAACCTGAACCTGTGGGTCTGTGGCAGGTCTCCATGTTGGAAGCTGCATATGTGAGCATAGGTACACTCCAAACAGAACATATGAGCATAGGTACACTCCAAACAGATCATATATGAGCATAGGTACACTCCAAACAGAACATATGAGCATAGGTACACTCCAAACAGATCATATATGAGCATAGGTACACTCCAAACAGATCATATATGAGCATAGGCACACTCCAAACAGATCATATATGAGCATAGGTACACTCCAAACAGAATATATGAGCATAGGTACACTCCAAACAGATCATATATGAGCATAAGTACACTCCAAACAGATCATATGAACATAGGTACACTCCAAACACAACATATACTGTATGAGCATAGGTACACTCCAAACAGATCATATATGAGCATAGGTACACTCCAAACAGATCATATATGAGCATAGGTACACTCCAAACAGAACATATACTGTATGAGCATAGGTACACTGCAAACAGAACATATAGGAGCATGGGTACACATGGCGTAGCAAAGGGACAGTAAGGTCCACATGGTTGGGGCCAGTGCTCCTAAGAACTGGTTACTGATGCAATCCACCTGCTGGAGTAAATTCAGGTATGTTTTATCTATCTGGCAACCCCTCATTCTGATTGGATAAAACCATGGACATCAGAATAACATGACTTTAAACTGTAAAGGTCAGATATGAAAAGTACCTGTGAGCTGTTCTCTGAGGACTCATGTAAAATATGTAAAGTGAAAACATCACATAAAGTCCCTTTTATTTTGTAAAATATATCTCATGCTAGTGCATTAAACAAGTAAACAAAAGTAAACAAAAGCAGTGCAGTCTCACGTAAACACTTCTATTACTTATTATAATAGAAAATATGTCAGATAAGATTTATCTGAAATGTGCTTCAGTCCTGTTATAGTTTCTACAAAACAAATCCTGTAATAATTTTCTTAGGCAAGCGTGCATACTTATAGAAAATAATTTCCCATACGGTTTAGTGTGCTAGATGTAAAACATCTAGTAAAACGTAGTAAAACATCTTTTAATGTGGATTCCACAGGGAATTCTCCATTAACTCTAATTCTCTGCTCTAACAGCCTTACCGGGCCGGTGGTATTCAGATGGCCACGGACCCCAAAACTATTGCTGTTTGTTCTAGCAAACCACTAATGCTAATTGCCAACATAGCTAGTCACAGGCTTATTCTTATTATCCAGTTAGACACTAGTGAGATTTACGCTGAATTCTGACCTCAGTCTCAGTCTGTCTCTGCAGCTGAGTCACGTCTCTCTCCTCCTCCTCCTCCTCCTTCGCGTCCGCCTCCTCCTCCTCCTCCTCCTCCTTCGCGTCCGCCTCCTCCTCCTCCGGCTCAACTGCTGCTCCGACAACCAGCTGGTGACTAGATGGGCCCGGGGCTGGTTCGTTTGATGCCGGCCCACCACCAGCCCTTCCCGAACTTGTTGCAAAAATGTCCGTAATTTTCGCACATTTCGTTGCATCCACTTTTAATGTAATTTTCCGTTTCTCCCTGAGCTTCTCCGCTCCTCCCTTTGACTTTGTTTTTTTTAAAATCCATCTTAAATTGACACGACTCACCTCCTCTCGAGGCCAAATAGCAATATCTAACTTTGGGCACTGGGGGCGGGGCCGGCCAGCAGAGCTGAGAGATTCCATTGGACTAGCCCAACGTCCTCAGGAAAATCAACCAATGGGCCACTTTGAGTCTTTGTTTCCATCAGCGTCAATAAAAACTACTTTTTTTTTTTTTATGAGTCAGGCAGACCGGCCCAAATATGGGCATCGGCCCTTCGGGCATTGCCCGGTACGCCCGATGGCCAGTCCAGCCCTGGGGTCTTCACACCAGAGGTCCTGGCGCGCGCCAGAAATAGCCGGCGGGCTCTGATGCTAACAGAGTTTAGCTAGCGGCTTCTTGTGTACAGATCTTCTCCAA